ATAGAAAAAAAAAAATAAAAAGTATACATCAAGAAAATACCCCTCAAATTAAGAAGACGAAAAAAGAAGGTGCCATCAACGTTGATGAGGCTCATGGAGGAGCGCTTGGCAGTTGGTATGAACATGGGCCTCGACAAGCCGTCACCACCGAGCCGGGATCAGATCTCGGACGCCTTTTCGAACGTCATGGTGGCGTAAATACCCTGGCGCGCGAATGTACGTCGGTGGGCGCATTTGTGATTCATCTAGTGTGGTTGGTTTTTCTGAGCATGCCACAGCAAAAACGGCGTACGGGAAGGGGGGTTGGAGGGAGCATGGAGGATACCAGTCATTCCCGCTGATCCAATTCGAGTTGGGTTGAAGCTGTTGTTATCACCAAATTTTCAAGAATCCAAGACTTGTCTTTGATTTGTACAGAACTTCGGTTGCCACCTTATTCCAAATATGCCCCCCTCCCCTTTCCCCCTTTTAGGCGCTTCTCCCTGATGATGATGATGATGATGATGAACAGTTCAGCGACTAGACTGAGACTTGAGCCTCGCTCTTGGGGCCCCTCTCGCCGAAGATGGTGCTACCGATCCTAACTTCATCGCTGCCCATGGCGACGGCGCCCTCAAAGTCATTGCTCATGCCCATGCTCAGCTCGAGCTCTCGTTCGAGTCCGAGTTCCTTCCGCACGAGATCCCTCTGCTCCTTGAGAGCGAGGAAGTCTTCATTCTCCGTCTCGGCCGTCGTCGCCTTGCTCCGCGCAATGGCACCAATGGTCATGAGGCCGAGCAGGTTCAGCGCCGGGCACTCATCTTCGATGGCGCGGCAGAGAGCGACCGTCTCGTCGCCGGGCGCGGCGCCAGACTTGGCCTCCTCGCCGGACGTGTTGACCTGGACGTGGACGTTGAGCTTGTCGACGTCCTCCCCATGGGCCAGGAGGTCGGCGCGCGCATTGTTCAGCAGCCTCGCCTTCTTCAGCGAGTCGACGCTCGAGACGCAGAACAGGTTGGGGATGTGGGCGAGCTTCTTGGCGTGGCCCGACTGCAGGCCGCCGATGAAGTGCCAGCGCAGCGTGCTGGGCAGGAGGTCGACCTTTTGAATGAGCTCCTGGGCGTAATTTTCGCCAAAGTGCACGACCGAGGCGTCGCGGTGCAGGGCGAGTATGTCGTTGGCGGGCTTGAGCTTGGAGACGGCCACGAGCCGGACAGGGCGGCCCTTGGCTGCGGATGTGAGGCGGGCTGTGACAGCTTCGAGCTGAGTCGTGAGAGCCTTGGCTCTCGCGGGGTCAACCTTCATCTCGGGCTGGTCTGGCATGTCCTGACGGGGATGTTGTCGTCGTTCCGGGGGTATTTGCTTGTGTCTAGGGTATGCTTGTTGGTTTATGGCGTGACTATGCTGCTGTGACTATGGAAAGGCACGTTATGTGTCATACGCCATCCCCATGCGGTGGTGGTGGTGATGGTGGTGTAAAAAGAGCTTGTCATTGAAGCTTGACTTTCTTCCCTTTCCCATACCTATGGGCTACCGTACAGGTCGAGTGAGCCACCACAGCCACACCTTGAACCCGTTTCGGCCAGGCACATCATGCAGGTCCTCGCGCTGAGGTGCGCTGCGTCACAGGGTGACGTGACACCTGACGACGCGCTACCGACACGCTGGAGCTGCCCCCTGTAGTAGCCCCCTGGAACCCCCTGAAGGGCCCCTGGGAAAAGGCTCGCCTCGGGCTTTCCTTTGTTGCCTCGACACCTGCATGTTGATGGTCGATAGCTCAAACCTTCAACCCTCCTCCAGACACCCCCACCATACAACATTCTTCGCTGCAACGACTTCGATTCCCTTTCAATTGCGCCATATCTTGGGTCGACATTTATTCCTACCACCGCTCCACAGTGCCTCGATTCCCAATGACCGCCCCTGGTTGAGAACAACGCTGAACGGCCTGTCGCAAGCATCTGCCGGTCGACTCCTCCGAATTCACCTTGTCCATCGCCTCGCCTCGCGCCTTTCGCCAGTATGCCCAAGCAATATACCCTTCTCGGACGCTCCCTACCCCGCCTCAGCGCCCGTCGCCTTTCCTTCCTCCTCGTCTGCTTTTCCATCTTTGCCGTTCTGTCCCTCCTCATCAGCCTGCCGAACGCCCTGTCGCCCGATTCGCAGCTCACCAGATACACTGGGCACATCCCAAAGATTCCCACGATCAAGAACCCATTCGCCCAGAGCGTCCTCAACCCCTTCAAGCAGCCCTCCCACCCGCCGCCGCGCCAGAAGAACGATACCTACGATGAGAGCTCCTGGTGGGCCGACTGGAAGTGGCTCTCCGTGCCCTTCTCCTCCTCCTTGACCCTCGACGAAGACCGCTCGCTGCTGCCTCCCTTGAAAGAGCGGCCCCCTATCTACTGCTACTACGATGCGACCATCAAGAAGGATGATGCCGTCAAGGACGCCGAGAGCGATCTGTTGCTCACCTGGAGGAGGGCATGGTGGGCGCAGGGTTTCAGGCCCGTCATCCTGAGCGCTGCCGAGGCCATGCAGAACCCTCTGTTCCCCGACGTCCAGCGCGCCACCTTGGACCCCGCCTTCAGGGCAGACTTGATGCGCTGGCTGGCCTGGGAGAACATGGGCGGCGGCCTGCTGACATACTACACAACGCTGCCCATGGGCTCGCGCGAGGACCCTCTGCTGGCCTCGTTTCGCCGCGCCGAGTACCCCAAGCTGACGCGCTGGGAGAAGCTCGGCAGCGGACTGCTCGCCGGGCCGCAGACCGAGGTGGCCGCCGTTATCAAGGAGATCCTGGCCAGTGACAAGGCCGCCGAAGCCAAGGACCTGCTTGCTAATGTGTCCAAGAACACCTTCATCATCGACAAGAAGCCTGCAGCCATCGCATGGTACGACGCCAACACCGTTGAGGGCAAGTTCGCCAAGGTCGCCACGGCCATTGTGGAGGATCCGGCCAAGGGGCTCAGGAGCCTCAACCAGCTCATCAACAGCCACCTCCACACGACGTGGCAGAACACGTTCACAAGCGGCATTGCCGTCCTCAAACCCCTGCCCCACCACTCTACCTACATGGTTACCGACGCCTGGGACCTCGCCGAGGACCTCTCCCAGTGCTCTCCCTCGCCCATGGTGGCCTCCTGTCCACCGAACAACCCAAACTGCTCGCCATGCGTCTCGACGACGCCCATGCACATTGGCACCCCGGCCCGCTACCGCAACTCCTCGACCCTCTACACGATCGGCACCGTGCCCCACCCCTACACAACGGCCGTCATGACCCAGATGAGCACATCGATCACCGTCCGCTGGATCCGCCGCGAGTCGCCCCGCGACCCCTGGCTCGCCGCGGCCACCATTGAGCTCCTCGGCGCCGCCGTCGGCGGTTCCCCGCGTGTCCTCTACTTCAAGGAAAGCTGTCGGCGCCG